AATAGAATAGAATAGAATAGAATAGAATAGAATAGCGAATCCATTTATTGTCCCATAATAGGGAAATTCTGGTGTTTATAGCAGAAAAAAGATTATTGAAAAAAAATGGTCACACAAACGTGGGCCTTAGAAAAATGTAGAAAAGTGAAGAGTAAAGAGAGATAATCAATAAAATACTGCACTGTAAAGTGTTTTAACAATATAAACTGTTCACCTGGAGAATAAATAACCAATATACAACTATGGACATTTTTACAGTGATGGATATTTGAAAATAGCAGCAACATCAGAGATGTGCAAAATGACAGCAACATGTTATTTAACTGACTAGGGTTTATATCATTATTATATTTGCTCTTATTTGTTCATGCTGCTGGTGGTTGGCACCTTTATTCAACTCTGTATTCTTATGAGTGAAGTCTTTGTTCACTTTACAATAAAAAAAATATATATATTTTTTAAAGAAACAGTTTTGAAAAGTTTGGTATTCATTCTCTTCCTGCTTTGTGTGTCAACTGTCATGGTTTCTAAGCGACAGAGCGTACGTATGGCGGTGAAAGCCACGGAACGCTAGACCAGTTTGAATTCACAACCGAAACTCTTCCGGTCTCCTTATTTTCAAGGACGTAATAGGATTCAGTCCAGATAGACGGGGTCCTTGGAGGATGCAGCTCAAATTCAAACTCAACCAAGATCTACGTTCTTTCTTGGTAATCACCGCCCTCCTGAGTCTAAAATGAAACCTTTTGGGTTTGTGAAATATGAAGTAAACTTTGTTCTGTTATTGTTGCATGCAAAGAAAATTCAATTCAGAAGTGAAAGCTTGAAGAAGTCTTAATCCAAAAGATACTGAGAGTAACTTTATTATTATTATTTTTTGTTTTATTCTTTTTATTATATTTATCCATTTCTATTTTTTACATTTTTTCTTTCAAATTAAAAGAAAATAAAACTTGCCAAAAAAAAAAAAAATATTTGATCAAATATAATACACATTTTTTTTAGAGGAATAAAAAATAAAACAATGTAAAGACATTTTGTGGAAAAAGCAAAGTTACTTTCAAATCCTTTATTTTTTGATCAAGACCTTTTTCGGTTTCATTTTTGGATTGCATTTTTTATTTTCCTTTACAAAATGTGTTCTTTTATTTAAATTTTCAAAACATTTAATTTGCTTGCAGCAATAATGGAAAAAAATTAACTCCATTGTTAAAGAAGAGAAAACATGGAAGTGAAAATGAGAATGTGGACAATTCGGACAGATTGTGCAAAAGAAAAAGAGTAAAGATCCCTGTATTTTTGTGCATGTACATGTACTATTTTATTTTGTGTGACATTAGGCTAAAGCCTTCTAAGAACAGCATTGCATGATCTTAACTAACCACTGCATGGTTAGAATGAAATAATAATCCATACAATTAAACCATTGGTAGACCTGATAAATAACAACACATTGTTCTTTCAAACAATTTATAACAACTCACCAGGTAGATCACAAAGCACAGATACACCACAGAGACCAGGGTAGCGATTACGTAGAGCCAGACGCTGTTCAACGCAGTCACATAAACCACCACAAAGTATAAGTTGATAGCGCAAACCAGGAGGATGACCAAGCTTCCTAAAACTTTGCAAACCCTTTAAAAAAACAAAAGAATCTGTGATTTAATCTGGGAAAAACACAAATTTCTCACCTCTGTGACTAAAACACTATAGTTAGCCTTTCATGTTTCAGTTCCCTTCCAGTAATGTTGAACTGATGCAATAGATACAGTGGGAACATTAACTGTTCAGGGGATATGTTTCACTTACAGCCCATTAGCAAAGTCGTTCATGATGGAGGTCAGACTGGTGAAAGCCAGGATGGGGATCAAGGCAAATGGAAGCTGTTGGAGGAAAAAAAGGACTATTCATACAATGCAATGTCTCAATAAAGGGGTCATAGAATGCAAAACCGAATTTACATTGTCATAGATGAATAACGTTTGCTCAGTAGGTGAAATGGACGTACAGAGAAGTTCAAACCACATCTACACCCCCTTGTTTGCAAATCTCAAAATTCTGAAATTCCACCATAAAACAGGCGAATTCAAACAAAGCCCCAAATTGATGTCAATTTGGGGATGTTGCCTTATTTGGGTCTGGCCTGTATTTTTGTCACGCCCTGAAATTGACATACAGACCAGCCCACTGGTTCACTGGTCCAAGAACATGAATAGAGGTAGATGTAAGACACAAGTTCAGTTATTTAGCCTACAGTTGGGTTTACTTCTACAACAATTACAAAGCAGGCAGTTTCTCTTTTCAAAGTGAGCCAGAACCACGGGCGTAAATGCAGTGTTCCAGGCTGCACAGAGAAAGGAGAAAATGTTCACAGTCTTCCCAAGGATCCTAAGACTCAACAGACATGGATTATTTGTGTCTATCAGAAGATATTTGCAAAGTTTGATGCTCAGCTGTTCATTTGCTGTGAGCATTTTACTGAAGACAGCACTCAAAATAATGGGGCCGCTGACTGGGCATTCGAACCGAGCTATCAGCTCCAGTGCTGGTCTGGGTCTGGAACCAGCTGGGGACGGAGCGACCGAACTCGACCTGATGACGGTATGCTTCCCCCCGCCTGCCTTACCGGGGAAGCACGGGGCCGCGGCTACCATCACTCTGCCCCCTGCTGGCTCCCTCCCTCTCCCCATCCACCTGAGTTCCCGGACCAGCCTGTGAGCTCACGGCTCGATTCTGCTGCACAGTAGCTGACCAAAATCCCGGACGATTTTGAAATTTCCCCTGAACATTTTTTAGGAACGAAAAGTAGGACATGTCTGGGAAAAAGAGAACATCTGATCACCCTACCAAATCGACAATTTAATGTTTCAGTGAGTGAGTGCTTGTTGCTATGATGCGTCTTTGCTCAGCAGCTTTGCTCATTATAAACAAACCAATCAGTGCACAGCTCATCTAAATATTCATGAGCATACCATAAAAGGAAGAAAACCTGTTGTTTCATTCTGGGGCTTTTTACCAGGCTTGAATTAGAGCCAATAGAACAGCAAATATGCCATTTTCAGCCCAACCAATGTTACACACCCTATTCAGAGACCTTAAGGACCAGCACCAAATACCCTATAGAATCATTCTATGAGCCCTTTAAACATGCTAACAAAAGAGATGTAGACATCATCATTTAAAGCTTTAAAGAGCTTCTTCTGACCAGGATACTCTGAACCACATTGAGGATGTCATTCAGCCCCGTCAGATGCTGAACATCTTTAGAAATGGCGACCAGGAAGGTGGGAACAATAGCGATGGAGCGAGTCAACAGCACCCGACGAAAACGAGACCACTTCAGGTTCAGAAATCCCTGAGCAAAGAGGTACAAACACAAACTTGCATCTTTAGACAGCATTTGGGGTTTTAGAATACTGTAAAGCAGCAGATACTACATGCAACATGCGGAGCAGAAGGTTTTTCTTTACCTCCATCACAAACTGTCCAGAGTAAGTGCCTGTCATGGTGGAGCTCTGTCCCGCTGCCAGGATCCCTATGGCCCAGATGTAGAGAGCAGCAGGACCAAAGAAACACCCCAACACCACCCCCTGTGGAGAAGAGGAAAAAGACTTATTATCTTAGTATTCATAGGTGTTTATGACTGAAAAGAGGCAAAGCTCAACAAGTAATTTATCACTACAAATTTTGTTGCTATATGGAAAATAGACCTTTAAAAAACTTCCCGAATATGAAAACATAGTCATAGGGTGGCAGACATATCCCAGAATGCCTTGGGCGGAGAGTTCTCCTCGTAAAGCATTATAGAATTTGCTGACAAAGTGGCCCGCTCTTGCTACCCGACAGTGGCGAAGTATAACAAAGAAGGCGCAGGCACCGGGCAGTGGAGGAGGAGTTGGGCGACCAACAGGAAGCAAAAAGTAGTGATCATCTGTCCGAAAGATAAGTTAACTGAGTGCGCTATTAATTCCAATATATATTCACAGCTCTATATAGTGATTGAGGAATTTAGCGGTCTGGACACAGTAATCTTGTATGAACTATAAGAACAGCAACTACTAAATACAGCGTGCACGAGGAGAAATGGACTCGTGCATGCTCTCGTGTGGGTTTAATGGGCGTTCCCTCTCGGGTACAGAGTTGTGCGTATGCATTTTTTTTTTTTTTAAGTGGGGAGGGTGGGTCTTTTCAGAAATTTGCGAAAATCCTCCACTATAAATTTCAGATAATCCACGTCGACCCAAAAGGATTCTACAACTACAGGAATTGTATGTTGAAGTCATGTGAGGCAGAGCCCTACTAGATCCTTGTAGCTCCATGATAGAGCTGAGAATTAATTTCTTCTTTATCTAATATTTCCGAGTAAAGCCAAATAGGAAAGGAGCATATTGAAAGTAAACATGTGTCAAGGTTTTATACAGTGGCTCTTAAGTGGAAACCACATCAACAAATCTCTAAAAACTACAAAAAATAAAAAATGCAACATGTTAAGAATGACAACATACCGGTACTAAAAATTGCAATGCAAAGTCAAAACCACAACAACAAAAACAAATCTTCAAAATCACAACACAAAGTATCAACTACGAAAGCAAATCCACAACCACAAAAACAAACCTGCAAAATAACAAAAATCAAAGCCACAAACAGAAACCTCAACCACAAAAACAAATACACAAAAATCACAATCCATAAAACCAGAACAACAACCACAAAATCAAAATAAGTAAATATAAATGATAATAATAATAAAAATATTTTTTTGGCTGTTCTGACCCTTACTTTACTCATTTAGCATTTAAGAAGAAAATACATCAATAACTCCAATTTGGTAGGTACAGTTAAATGTTTTACTCTGTGGTCTCCATAGATGAAAACATTTCTATTATCAAAGCTTAAACTGTATCAGAGTTTATTGCTGGAGTAAAGCAGAGCAGACATACCCCTTTGTAGATGTCCACCTCCAGAGTGCCATTGTTGAGAGGGAAGAGATCGGTGTGGGGGCTGCCTGTAGCATTGCACACAGCGTTCTAAAACACAATCAGCAACAACTAAATCATCAATATCTGTTCAATTAACCCTAAAAAGTAAGAAGCTATTTAACTCTGCAGCAAAAGGACACAACAGCCTGTTAGCAATCAGTAGAGCTATTTTTTCTAACATGGTACTCACCACCTCCATGTTGTTTTTATTGTAAAAAGCCTGAGCAAAGACTGCGACGACAAAGAGGTTTATGACGAAGGAGACTAAGAGGGCGATAGATGATTCAATGAAGAAGTACTTGTTGGCTTCCTTTATCTCTTTCTTGTTTTTCCGATCCACTTCTCTGGACTGATAAAACAAAATAGATTAAAAGAAAACAATCGCTGCGTTTTATTTGTAATAATAAGCTAATAGATGCTCTCATGCAATGCAGATTCAGCTTTCTGACAGAGTTATTTTTTTATACGTATAGTTCTATGGATTTGTTCTCACTTTGACCAGAGCTGAATGCAGGTAGATGTTGTGGGGCATAATGACAGCACCCACGATTCCCACCGCCTGCTCCAGCTGCACAGGCCCACAGTTAGGACAGTACGGTAAAAACATCCCCTTAAGAACCTCTCCTTGGTCCGGTTTCACCAGCCCGTACTGTGGGACAATAGACAGATAAATAACTATGTTACATCTCCATAAAACACAAATGCAAGAGAGAACTTTTTATAAATGAATGTCATGTTAAATAAAAGCTCCTAAAATCCATTGGACAGTTCTTTTTCCCTGCATGAACTAACCAGAGTTACTTTAAAACTGATCCGTTCAGTTCACAGTTCACTAAAAATATAAACGTATTCAATGAATGCCGTTCATTAAACACATTCATGCACAGCAGCGGTTACAGGCCAGTCTTGCTTTTATATGTAGATTCTAAAATCCTCTCTAAGGTTATTGCCAAATCTTTACAACATGGTGTGCAGGACATTATTTTGTAATTACTCAGAACAGAGGGACCCAGTATTCCAATTTTTACATTCTCCTGTCCTGACCCTGGATGTTCACAGGGGAGTGAGATGGGGGTCTTCTCCTGAACTTGATCACCATCTCTTTGGTCTTACTGGTGTTAGACAGAGGTGGTTCTTCTCACAACAGTTCATACAGTCCATGATGACTGATCGAGTCTCCAGTTCTTTCCCCTCTGAAACACAGCCTACAATCGCAGAGTAATCGGAGAACTTCTGGAGATGGCAGCAGCTGTTGTAGGTGAAGTCTGAGGTGTAAAGGGTGAAGAGGAATGGAGACAGAACGGTGACCTGGGTTGGCCCGGTACTGCAGACTGCCACCTCTCACTGACAGCAATGCAGCCGCACATATTGAGGGCGTTCAGTGAGGTAGTTGACGGTCAATGCAGCAAGATGTCTGTCCACTCCAGCGTCCTCCAGCTTTCCCCCCCAGCAACTCTGGTCTGATGGTGTTGAAAGTGCTGGAAAAGTCAAAGAACATGACCCTCACTGCACAGCTGGTGGTATCCACTTGGGTAAGCGCTTGCTGCAGCAGGTAAATGATGGCATCCTCCACTCCGATATCAGGTAAGTTAGCAAATGCAACAGGTCCAGGGTGGGGTGGGGGAGGCAGGATAGAGGGTTTCAGTGGGTCGGGGGTTGGTGAGTTAGGTCTCTGGAGAGATTAGTCATCTGGAGCCAGAAAAGAAAATCTAAAACACTAAGGTAACGCTGGTAACCTCTCCCCACTGGCTCAAGAGATAAAGTCTGGCATTGATGGCTGAGACCAAGTACTTGAAATTGAAGCAGGAGCAGTGATGAGAAACAGGGAAGATTTTTTAGGCCCCGTCCACACGAAGCCGAACCCTGGCCTAAACGCACAAATTTTTCACCAAACCAGCCTCTCATCCACACGAAGCCGGCGTTTCGGGGGTCTGTAAACGATCTTTTTTTTATTCAGCCTTCAGAGTGGGAAGATTTCGAAACGCCGTTTTCGCGTTTCCATCTTTAAGCTCTAACCGCAATTTTTTTTTTTACACGCATGTGTCATAGCGTCACCTCTAAACACGCATGCACGACACAGTATCACAACAACAATGGCGCCGTACTGTGTTGAATGGTTGCTGCTCATGCTACTCACCCTGCTGTCGGGCTTACAACAGAATCTTCTTCTTCTGGAATATCTCCAGGAAGAACAGAGCAATATCGACCACATAGTTCAGCACCTGAATTTGACTGAACCACGAAAATGGACCCGCAGGGCAACCATGTATAAATATTAGTGCGCATGCCCAACATTTCGTCGCTTATTTTTGCTTTGGCACCACAGCGCCACTTACAGGCCTGGCATACATTTTGCAGCGTTTTCATGCATTCGTGTGGACGATCACATTTATTTTACGTCTCCGTCTTTACGACAAACGTTCTGGAAAATATTAGCGTTTCGTGTTCGTTTTGACTTCGTGTGGACGGGGCCTAGGTGAAAGAAACGAGAAATAAAGCCAGCCATCAGCGCCAAGATCATGACAAATTTGATAAGAACAGGTGGGATTTATGCCAGGTCATCACTCTCCTTTCGACACCATATATAGTAGAGACAATAAAATACAACATTTAACTTTATATCTATAATTTAGACACAAAATCATTAAAGCAATATTTAAAAGCCATTATAATTGTATGTCCTGACATAAATATACCTTGAAAAACAGATTACAAATAATACCCATGTCTATGATGACTGCATATGAAATTCTGGGTGTCAGATGTGTAGGAAGCTTACCTCATAACCAAAGCTTATAGCCATTACAGTGATCAGAAATCCAAAGAAAAGTTCAAGTTTCCTCAAACCTTAAAAAATAAAAACATGTGAAAACATCTGGGAGCGCAAACCAGATCAGTGAAGGTAAAGATCTGGATTAAGGTGACTACATACCATATTTGTCTAAAAAGAGGAACACAAACGTGTCTGCGATGGTGATGAGGACCCCTCCCCACAGTGGGATCCTGGTAGTTACACAAAGAAGGAAAACCATGAACAAACACACATCTTCCAATCTATAATAAATCCACAACAGAAAATAAAGTGCCTCACCTGCCCACTGAGAGAAGGTTAAAGGCGATGGCACAGCCGATGACCTCCTGCATGTCTGAACCAATAATTGCCAGTTCGATCATTAACCAAAGGATCATCCGTGGAACCTGAAGGAAACAACCATTTATTCAAAGAACGTGATTAAAAACAACCAGAAGGAGTTGAGAGGATTAGCCAGGGACTTACAGTGGGATACTGGCGGTTGCAGATTTCAGCCAGGTCCATCCCGGTGACGACTCCGAGGCGTGCAGCCAACCTCTGCAGCAGCAACCCAATGATGGTTGCATAAAGCAGGACCCATAGGAGCTGAGAGATCCAATCAACATAAGTCACTACATCACCTTAGAGATGGATGTCCTGCCTTTTTCTAACAAAATAAAAAAGTTGAAAATATAATTCTGTCAAACTACTCTCTCTCTGGTAGTTTTGTGTAACTCTGAGTCATTTGTTGACCTACTTTAATTGTCGGTTTTGTAACAGTGGGTTTTCCCTGTTATACTCTTCCACATATGTTGTAATAAATTATCTTTTTTGTTTTCTTACAGATCTTAAGCATGTAAGTTATAATAAAAAGAAGCAGTGATTGGTTCATTCAAGCTTCTATCTGATTTTAGTTGGTGCACTGCAGATCTTTGGTTGTCCTGCCTCAAAAAAGCAGAGTAAATATCCTGTATAAACTGTTACCTGTTAGGCTAAATATGTCCAAACTTTAAAATAAATTGTTTATTTAGGTTTCAGGTGTGTAATGATGTGTAGATAAAAATGCTTCATTCATTACCTTAAAATCAGATGTGGCACCAGACTGCAGATCGGACTCGATGTTTCCAGGATCTAAATAAGCAATGCTCATCAGAAACCCCGGTCCGGTGAAGGCCCAGAGTTTACGGAAACTGAAGCACTTAGAGGAAGAGACGGATGATTTTTATTAATAATAAAATTACCTTAGTTCGGATTGCAATAAGTCATCAATTTAGCCAAGCTCTGAAAAGAAAAAAAACGTGCTAAAAAAGTTGAAAAACATATAAAGAATATGCATGAATAATAACTTTTTTTAAATCACCCATAGGTTAATTCTGATATGGTAAAAATCTCAGTTAGTTGAGTTGTACCTCATTGTCACTTTCTGGAATGGGAACCTTATCCTCAAAGTAGGTGGACAAGGGTTCCTCTTGGACCTCAGATGAGGCCTGAGGAGAGATGGCACCGTAGTGGCTTGACTGGTCTCCATTTTCCTGCTGGGAATCATCTGAGACACACCAGTTTCACGGAAAACTATCAGTACACTGTAGCTTAGACCGTGCTCTTTTTAAGAATTACAGAAGAATTACATTCTAAAAAGATTACATCTATTATTAAGATGACAAGAACTAGATCTAAAACAAGTATTGCTTCTTTGTTAACCAAATCATTTGTTTAAGTTAGAGCTATCGGGACAGTAATGGAGACTGTGTGTTGTGGCATTATAACAGTGAATTTATGTAGTCAGAGTAACAACTTAGTGCACAGGGGAAAAAAAATGTTGTTTTTTTTTTCTAAAAAAAAAAAAGTTTAATAAATTACCAGAGTTGAGAAAAGAATAAATGCAATTTTAAGACATAATTCAATTTATTTCTTAAAGCCTTCTTAAAGCCTAAAATAAAATACAAAAATTATGAATGCCTAAACCTTTAAAGATCCATAATTTATATATATTGGTAGATGTCAAATTATTTTCCTTTTATTAAAAATGCAATGGTGATGCATAATCGGAGAAGTTATCACAACTCCCCTAATGCAATAATTTTTACTTTTTTTGTTCAGCTCTCCTGCTACACTAACATCTCTTTCCAACACACCATACACCACAGCCTCCCCATGAATCCAGATTAAATATGAATACAAACTTGTCTTTCTGTCTTTCTTTTGACATTGATTACTATGGAAACTTCATCAAAGAAAGATCCTCAACACAAAGAAACAAATTGAATGCAAATCAGCTACATATGTAGTCTGAAAACTTCAATCTAACGTAATTACTTTGATTCCAAGTCTGATCAGTCCAAAGACTCAGCTTTAACTTCTTATAACAACATTTAAAATGGAACATGATCATTTCCAGTACTACAAATCCACTTTACAATAACTGTTTGAGCTGATAATTGTTTGCCTATATAAATAAAAACTCACAGAGTCTGGAGCGTCCCTCCTTCCCACCAGTCATCTCCAACTTACTGCTGTTCCTAAAGTCCACTGTTGCCTAAGAATGGTTGCTTTTATAAGCTGCTTCCTCTGGGTGTGTTTTTTAAAAACAGAATGGGATGGTGGGGGGACATTAACTGTCACATTAATATTGCAGCATTTATCACGTGTCAAAAATACCTCAAGATGAAAGAATTCAATCCAACATGTGAAGAAGAACCAAAGTAAGATTTTTGAAATAAGCAAACTCTAAAACCAAGTCTGTAAATATATTTGATGCCTTTTAAAAGTTGCTAGTTAGGCACCTTATATATCATATGAGCTAGGTATGCATTTTAGTCTAACTTCAAAACCATAATTCAGCCTCAGGAAGGCCTTAATAAGTGTTAACAGAGCGATTGGTAGGAAGGTTCCAACCTTCCAGCAGATCTCCGTTCTGCTCGGCCGTCATCAGGTCAGGCTGGGATGAATATCAGCCACCACCTGCAACAGGACAACAATTGTTACCTAATGGGACTATAACCTGGAATCCTGTTGGGTAAATGAGATTCCATAGAATAAAATTCATGCTTTGAACCAAGAAGAAATCACAGCCTTGATGATTTTGAAGGAATTTGTTTACTCTCTAAAACCCCATGCGACATCCCAATGATTAAGCAATATTAAAAGCTGAGCAAAAGACACAATTTAGATGTCAACTTTCACAGGAAGCTTTAAGTTTGCCTCAAACACACCGGTTTCACTTCTTCTAAAGACATCTTAACATTGTTTGTGCATTAAAAAACAGGTACCTCTGAATTTCATATGTACCACACATCAAACACAAAGCCTCAGCAAATCAACTGTATGGGGCACATGATTGTGGCATGGTGGGGCAAAAGAGGAGCTGAGGCAGCAGACAGGGTAGCTTCTATGGCAGTCTACACCACTTCCTTACTCAGAACTGATATTTGGAATAATTGACCAAAAAGTCACGTTCCTCAACATCCTCCTTAACAATATGATCAACAAAACAATTTTGATACAATATAAAATAACTACAAGAAATATGTGGCTGGAAGGAAACTTTGAGGAACAGAATCTTAGTGGGATATGTGAAACACTTGCCTGAAGATTAACATGAGAAAATTAGATCAAACCAGTTTCTTAAAAATGCCTACTGTAAGATTTCTCCATGTAGTGTTAAGTAGATTCATAAAATAAATGGTAAGTTGTTCTTTTTAATTCAAGGTTTCTTAAAAGAGGAATTGGAGATGGTGATGGCTGTAGGGAGAGGATCTGAAAAATCCCTTTCACTGAACACACTGTTGTTGCTGCCTCATAAACATGATCTTTTGGGGGGTTTTAATTTTGTGAAACATCCTTTTTTCACAATCATCTACAGAGCATTCCTCAAAACAGAAACATGTCGGCTTATTTAGCTTTTGAAATCACTAGCCTCAAAATCTACACTATGGTTCTACTTTGGCCACAGTGCAGCTGTACCTACCTGTACCTCTGCCCAGTTTTGACTTGTATACAACCTCATTGGAAGACGTAGAGGTAGAAGTTGTAAAAATTGGATCGGTTCTACGCTGAAACACCAGTCCTGAAATCAATCAATTTAAGCCTGTTTTCAGATGTCATAAAGTCGAGGAGTAGATATCCATCCTTAGACGAATCTCTTTAGACATTCATTTAATTATGTGCAAAAACATGCTACCAATCAAGAGCTATATATAAAAGACCAAAAAACATATCCACTGCGTCTATGTTGAAATGGACCAATAATTCCCTATTACAAGCAACTATTCTGTTCAATAATAATAACCCCAACACACTAAACTACCAAAACAAATGTAAATGTTTATTAGAATAAATCAAAAAGTGATGGAAAATTGGACAGCAGCATTTACTAGACAGTTAAACAATTATCAAGCTTAAGTTTAATTTTAGCATTGCATAATCACCAATTAATTCTGCAGCAAAACAAACACAGCACTGAGGTGAATTTGGAATGTACCAAACTATGGTGGGAGCTGACTTGCAGCTGCAGGACGCTACCTTTCTCAAACAGGCCCTAAATCAGAGTGGCAGTGAAAGAGGAAGGTAGGGTAGTCAGCGCAAACAAAATTTTAGTGGTTCTATTGGGCAGCTGGCTGTGTTGTCACGAGCGACACTGAATCCAGAAAAAAAAAAATCAAAAGTATCATTTATAAACGGTAAAGAGTACATTTATTAATAATTAAAAGATTTCCTAATGTTTGGTTGTCAAGCATCAGAACAAAGGACTCAGTTTTTGAAGCAGACAGACAGTATGATTTCTCAACAATGTTTATTAAGTAAACAGAATTGCAGGGAACAGCGAGTATGTCTAAGGCAGGATCATCTGCAGGGAGAGAACACAGGTTAGGGACCACGTCTAGATTCCGCAGGATGATTATGAAAGTGTGATTCACTAATCTGGTCTTAAAGTTCAGTCAGTGTCCAAAGGACGAGGTTGTTTCCAGCCAGTTGGCTGCCGACAAGACGTGGCGGACGTTGAGCCAGAGAGTCCCTAACGAGAGTCCCGACGCTGGTCGAGAAAGTGCTCAGGAGTCCCGGGACAGGATATCAGAGATCCGAAGAGGTAGCAAAGGGAAATCCAGGACGGTGTCAGGAATCAGTTCCAGGTATGGTAAACAGGCAGAATCCAGCATGGGCAGGCCGCCCCAGAGGTCCAGAGGCGGAATGGACCAGGATCAGGCAATTGGAATCAACTAGATACGCTCAAAATGTCTTGCCAAAGCTCAAATAATCTGGCACTGATGACTGGTAGAAGACATGTTATATAGAAGCTAAAACAGGTGAATCAGATGAACGATTGTGAGAAACTGGGCGGAGCTAGGCAGGTGAATGAAATAAGTAATCATGCCAGTCATCAGTTTCAAGATCATGACATTGATTCATTTATAACCTGCATCTACACCATGTATAAAAGGTAAATAGATAATTTATTAAGGTAATAAGTCAACTGATGTTAGGGTTAAACAAATATGGCAGCGCAATAAATCAAAGTCAAAGGTAGAGTTAAGCAAGAAGCCCAAAAATGTTAGGTTTAGAGATCAACTAACATAGATCAGCAATATAAATTAGTCAGATTAGGGCTAGGCATGAAGCCCACAGTGTTAGGGTTAGGGATGAACTAACATAGCAGGGTAATATGATCTATTTACCTTTTATAAATAGTTGAGATGCAGTTTCTAAGTGATTATCAAACATTAAATAAACTATATGTTAATCATTAATAAATGTTCTTTTTTAATGTTTGTAAATTATGTTTATGATGGTCATTGTAAAGTGTTACCAAAAGAGAAAGCACAACTAGAGAGATTGAGAAGGAGGAAGAAGGGGATGAGTGATCTTATTCAGCAGATTGTCAATGTCAGTATTTAAACCATATTCAAATAGTTTAAAGAAAGTAAAAAAGCAAAGCAGACCCAGTCAAATTCACATGACACAATAGCCATCTAGCATAAATTTCTATTCAAATACCTACCTGCCCAAGCATGGTTAACGTAGTGAAAAAAAAAAAGGAAAACAAGATTTTTACTTTTAAATGTTTTTTTTTTTTGGGGGGGAGACAAGATGCTGCTTCAGCTGAGGGTGTTGGGATCTGGAGGTCTGTCCACCTTCGTCCAGCAGAGGGCGCCTCTAGGTCTCCTGGAGCTGATCTGACGACCACACCTGCGACCCATCAGTCATCAGGAGACCAGCATATAAGCAGCAGCAGGACTACACTCCAGCGCCAGAGTGTTAAGCCAGTTATGGTTAGCGAAGGCTGAGCCAACCAGCCTGCCTGATTCTCTGACTCCCCTGAAACCTGAACTTGAACCTGATCAGTTTTTGTCTTCTCTGCCTCCTAGGAAGAAACCTGACTGAACCCTGGAACTCTGGAAGAGTTTCATCTGCTGAAATCTGCCTGCCGGCTCTCAGGAGCTCATCTGAAGAATCTAACTGTCTGAACCTGCCTGCCCGCCCTCAAGAAGAGGATCGGAAGAAGACTCTGGATCTGAACACTGATAAGTCTGAAGTCGAGCCCTGCCGTTGCTTAGCCCTCTGCCAACTTCAAGCCTCTGGACCCACCTGGTTCCCTCCCTCAGCTGTTAAACCTGAATCACGTCACAGGTACAAACCTGCACAATTCCTTTGGCAAAGATCTACTGCATCCTGGCTAACCTAACTGTCCCTCTCTACAGAGAGCCCTGTGTGACCAGTGTCACTGTTTCTCTGCATTACTCATATAACTTTGTGTTTATTTCAATAAACAGTCAAACTTTTCATCTGCCTCCGTTGTGTTCTGCATGTGGGCTAGAAACCTGAATCCCATCATGACGGAGGGTCTGTAGTTCAGCCGATGTGTAGACTAACAAAGGGGAAAGGCAGGTAATTACCAGTTGGTTACCAGTTTGGCCAGGATAACTTGGTTCCCTGTTTACCAGTCAACAAAAAAAGTAAAAAGGAATAAAATGTTGTCATGATTCCTGGCACTAGTGCTGGTCTGATGGAGGATTCAACTCACCTATCAGCTCCACCCCATTTCCAATCAGCATCAATCAGATTCACCTGCTTACCTGCCTATATAAGCTGTTCTCAGACCCGTGACTAGTGCCAGATTATTACGAACCTTCTGTGAGTTTTCTCCTGCATTCCTGTTACCCGTCTGCCTTCCTTATTCTGACCCGATTCTCTTAGCCTGCCTCAAACCTTTCGGACCTGTCATATCCCCCTTTCTCACTTTTCAACAAACCAGTTTAAATCCAGGAACAATCGGCTTTTAGTGGTGTGGAAACAGTTCAATGACGTGTTTCTACCCGGGTCAAACGACTTGGCAAGCGACAAATGCTGGCATGCTGTAGGAACACCAGAGCCGGGTTGACATGATAAATTACATGATACCATTGAGCGCAACATACGGACGTCAACACAAAGTTTGTCCCCAAACTCTGAGAAGGTTAGTGAACCAGAACTCACTAGCAATATTACCATCTGTTTCTGCCTGGTCACTCAGCTG